GCCAGTCCCAGTCCCCTGCCCCCCTTAATTAGACCCAGTGTCACCCATAGCCAGTCCCAGTCCCCTGCCCCCCTTAATTAGACCCAGTGTCACCCATAGCCAGTCCCAGTCCCCTGCCCCCCTTAATTAGACCCAGTGTCACCCATAGCCAGTCCCAGTCCCCTGCCCCCCTTAATTAGACCCAGTGTCACCCATAGCCAGTCCCAGTCCCCTGCCCCCCTTAATTAGACCCAGTGTCACCCATAGCCAGTCCCAGTCCCCTGCCCCCCTTAATTAGACCCAGTGTCACCCATAGCCAGTCCCAGTCCCCTGCCCCCCTTAATTAGACCCAGTGTCACCCATAGCCAGTCCCAGTCCCCTGCCCCCCTTAATTAGACCCAGGGTCACCCTTACCTAGTCCCCTGCCCCCCTTAATTCAACCCAGGCTCACCCATAGTCATAGTTAATTCAACCCAGGGTCACCCATAGTCATAGTTAATTCAAACCAGGGTCACCCATAGTCCCTTGCCCCCCTCAATTAGACCCATGGTCACCCTTACCAAGTCCCCTGCCCCCCTTAATTCGACCCTGTATTTTATGAAAAGATTTTTGGATTAAAAATAAAAAAATAAGAACAGGTACTTACTTTGAAGTCTGCTGCTTCCTCCCTGTCTGCAGAGCACCGGCCGCCGCCCTCACACATTGAGCGGATCCTTCCGCGGCTCTCTGTGATGGCGCAGCACTTGCACGCTGCGCCTGTGCGGCTGCGCCCCCAAGCTCCTCCTCCACGCTCCGGAAACCGCAGTTCAGCTCACAGACAATCTCGGGCCGGCCAGTGACAGAGCGACTGCGAGCTGTGTCGGCCGCCCGGCGCCCCTGTTGCCATGGCGCCCTGTGCGGCCGCACAGCTCGCACACCCCAAAGGCCGGCCCTGGCAGACATGTTAGTGTTACTTTAAGGTGTTTGTTGCTAAGGCTTGCCTATGAAATAATCAAATCGCTGATTTACAGGTACTGGAAAAGAAGGTGTACTAAAAGAAGCTGGTTTTCCTGTCATTGAAAATAAAGTATGTAACAGCCCAGAGTATCTTCAAAATAAGGTTACAAGCAAGGAGCTCTGTGCCGGTAACATTCATGGAGGTGTTGACAGCTGTCAGGTGAGAAAATGTACATGTTTTGAAGCTGCAGTGTATAATCGGTTTAAAAAAAATGTTTTTCAAAACATTATAATAGTTTTTGAGCATGCCAGTCTGAATTTGGAACTTACCACGGATTAGATCCATATAGTAGGACCCTATTATGCAACTTTGTTTTATGAAACACATCTTTTTCTACTGAACCTCTTCCCCCTACTATAGTAATACATTAATTATTTTAATTACAGATTTTCGCTAAAAGGAACATTTAGTTTCAAGACAGTTTTGTGAATGGAAAGTCACTGATTGACTGAAAGCGTCAGCTGGCTGTTCTCAGCCAATCAGACGTACCCCTGTCCAACGGCACTCTGAAACTCAGATTTCAGAATCTAGAAGCTGCTAGGGGGATATTGAGATTGGTGCTGGAGGCTCACTTTGGGGTGGTTTAAGCCCTGAAAGTAAAAGAGCACCCAGCGGTGTCTTAATTTAGATGTTGTTATGCTGCTCGAAGTGTTCCTTTAAACGTCTTGTCTTCATAGGTCTCTCTGCTACAGGACTGGTTAGTGCCTACATTGGGGCTCATTTTACTGCCTTACTTAGAGTAAATTGCTGCAGTGGGACCCACTCTAAGTTGGGTGACACTATGCGTTACCCTTCTAGTTGCCACATGGAAATGCAGAATGATGCAAAAAATGCAGAATTTTAAATTAAAATTCTAATTGAAAAATGCTGATTATATTAATGTGTTTTTAAAAATTTAATTGTCAAACAATTGCATCTCTGTTGAATCCAGGAAAATTACCTTTCTTTGCTAAACAAAAAGTTTAATAAATTTGGTTTGGTTTTTACAGGGTGACAGTGGAGGACCCCTTTCTTGCTTTGATGGAGAAAAATATATAATACAGGGGGTTACTTCTTGGGGCCTTGGATGTGCACAGCCAATGAAACCAGGTGTATATGTACGTGTCTCTATGTTTATCTCATGGATTGAAAAGACAATAAAAGAAAATTAAGCAATTGACATTTTTTTGAATAACTGTGATCAACTGAGAAATATTAAAAAGTATTACTAAAATAAAAACAAAATTTTCATAATGTATCTCTCTTATATCATAGTATTTTAATTGTCAGGCATTCATTAGTAGCTGCTCGCGTTTCTTAAAATGTGTCCAGAACAACAAGTGTTTGTCTACGTGCGTGTCTAACCTGTTTCTCATCATACACTAACGGCTCTAGGAAAGAGTTATTGTCTATTATGTGGTACTTCACTTCACTTAGCATAGAAAATTTGGACATCTTCATTTTACTGTTTCAAAAAATACTATTTCCACTTAACAGCTTTATTTCTATGGGGACTTCACTGCCTTAAAATAATGAGCTTCTTTCCATTTAATAACTAGATGCAAAAAGATATGACACATGTCAGTTATATGAAACAAGAAAAATATAAAGATGTAAATGCATATTTTACTATTTGATTTCAAATGGTTCCATATACAGTGGATGGCTGTCTGTGTATTAGAGTAGAATCAAAATGTACTTGTTCCACAAAGTTATTGTATAAGGGAAAACTATAGACTTAATATCTAAATATAATAACTCTTGCACATTTTAAAACATTACCAGAATATATTAGAATTGGCTCAGAGCATGAATGCACAGATTCCAAACACACCTTTGGTTAATTCAATTGAACTGAAAGCTTAGATTACATAAGACTGTATACTGACTGTGTACCTATACAGGTTTAACAATCTTTAATTTGCTTTTAAATCACATAGTACGTGCTAGAACTTGTTTAAGGCCCTTTGTCATTGTAGTTAGCAGTTAGCAAGGCTGGTATTACTTTAATAGAGCATAATCAGTGCACTTCTCTTTAATGATGTAACCAGTTATGGTGTAGAATGTATGCTCTTGCATAAAGAGGAATTTCACAAATATTATTCATCTCTTTGTAATATAGCAAGTAAAACCCAATTAAGTGAACAAAAGGAAGATATGCAAATATACTTAGCTGAATCCCTAAGCAGTGTGGTAGTACCTTCAGCCGCTGAATCCCTTGATAGACCAATTACACTAGAGGAATTATTTGTCGCCTTGAAATCGATGAAACCAGGAAAAAGCACCAGTGCCAGATGGTTTTGGCATTTTGTACTATAAGAAATTTGGAACAACTTGATGCCCTTAACTCCATCTCAAGGAGTGGGAAGTTTAATGCAGACTTATTATCTGCATATATTAAAATCCTTTCTAAAGAAGGAAAAGATTCAGAGTTATGTTGTAGCTATAGACACATATCCTTGTTGAATTTGGCTATAAAACTTAGTAACAAAGATGCAGGTCTGTGTTGAGGATCTAGTCCACCTTGATCAAAGTGGTTTTATATCTAGAAGGGAAGCAAGGGACAATATTTATAGCATATATAACATCATACATATATTTGTCAAGAAAAGAGAAATGTATACTAATGTTGTTATCTACAGCATTTGATAGGGTGGACTGGACCGTTATGCAGGCAACTTAAGAGCAAATGGGTTTTGGAGAAAAAACAAGGCAGTGGATAAGATCTCTATATACTCCATCCCAAATGCCCTGATAAATGCAAACGGAGTATGCTCTAAAATAGTTCAGATAAATAATGGAACCCGTCAAGGCTGTCCTCTCTCCCCAATTTTATTTTCCCTTATTCTCGAACCCTTACTACAAGCTGAGAGGAGAAACTCTTATTAGCGATTATAATTTCAAACAGGCAGAACATAAAATAGTTGCATACACAGATGACATGCTGTTTTTTGTTACTAAACCTAGAATCACTACCAAATTTGATCGCCGTATTTAATACATTTAAATTTTTATTTAATCTTAAACTCAATGCCTTAAAATGTGAAGTATTAACTATCCCAGTTTCAGCACAAGAAAATAATAACTGGGCAGTGCAATTCCCATTTAAATGGTGTACGGCTCAAATCAAGTTTCTGGGTATCTGGATAACCACCGACCCATCCCAAACTTATCAGAGTAATCTTTTACGGCTATTAAATAAAATTCAGATAGACTTTAATAAATGGAACACGCAATTTATTTCATGGTTCGTGCCTATTAATGTCCTTAAAATTAATTTTCTACCATAAATGTTATATTTGTTCCAGACAATTCCGATTGAGCTACCACAATCTTTGTTTGCATCCCTTAAAAATGCTACTATAAATTTCGTATCGAGAGGTTCTCGCCCACATCTCAGATATGACATTTTATGTCTTCCGAAATCAAAGGGAAGTTTGGCACTCCCAAATTTTAGGCAACATTATCAAGCTGCACAAATGTTGCAAATTCAAGAATGGCATGTTACAGATTTAAATAATCCATGGTTGGTCTTGGAAAAGGCATGGAGCCCATTAATGGCTTTTTTTTAATGTGGTTACAAACTGTAAAAATTACCCAACAGATACCCCCATCTACCCATATCTATGCAACATTGAAAGTTTGGTTCCAGATTAAAAAATACACATCAGTTACCCACAATCCAGATTCTGCAGGAGGAATTCCTAAGATTTTTACACTTAATAATTATAGTACGGATTTTACTAAATCTCAAGAAACAAATTATAATATAATTTCACAAATACCAAAAGGAGTATAGTTCCCAAGAACATATACCAGATGGGGGCACCACAATCACAAAACGTGTATACAATGGTGTGTATATTTACCATACATATTCAATGGAGGACATATAAAAGATAAAAGTAGAGAACATATATGGTGAAGTATTTAATGGCACACAACATGATAAATTAACAAAATGTACAATCACAAAGATGTTGGCACTAATGGACTTATATCAATTTGTGCAAAAGAGCTTGTCAACCCCTTCCTGGGTTAAGTAGCGGGATGACGTGCGTCGTCACGTCTGCCGCAATGCGCACCGAAAAAGCTGTGCGAATCTAAGGATTTAAAAAGCCGGAAGCACAGGAGAACTCACAGCTCTTGAGAAAGTCCTCGGGACGAAACGCATTGAGCGGAGAGGCTTGACATGTGCACAGTCGCCTTGTCGGCATCTGCTTAAAACCCCACCACATACCCATTTCCAATAAAGCATTGACACCATGGTTTTTGGCAAAATTATATCACAGCTTTATTTGATACTTAACATAAAATATAAAGGTCATTGTCAACAGCAGGCCAACATTGGCCTGCACAATTAACATCCTGCAGTTTAAAATTTAACCCCTTGACAATGACCCACCCCCACATAACATAATACCCAAACATTGTAACATTTACTTAACATCCATTGCCACCAAAGAGCACCACAAGTGTAGGGGCATACCGAGACACCCCTACACACCCCGGTTCGGAGCTACCTACGAGCTTGAACCTACCAAACCAGTCCAAAGGCCTACCCTACCCTGTAGCCCTGAACTCCAAACTTTTTCCCTATCTCACTCTTGTCTCCCCCCAACTTTACTCTCCATCCCCCGCTGCCGTGACCAAACGGGAAACACCTGAAAGCAAAGGGAGGGTGGGTGGGACAACAACAGGTAAGTGCAACTAAAATTAAAGTGATCCCTGATTCTAAAATGGCCACTACTTATACTCCCCTTTATAACTCCACCCCACTATTTCCTTAGACCAATCCCTGAACACTGACCTTTAAATGGCCTGTCTCCTGGCAATGTCAAGGTCCACTCCCCTTAGCTACGCTGCTCCATGGGCTACATGCCGGTGTCACCCCAAGATTCTGCATTGATCCATCCACATTCATTTCTGTGCCAACATCTTTGTTCATCCTTATATACCCTGAAGGAGAACTATCATTGTCTAAAGGCATTAATATCGGATCTGCACTTAAAGGGGACTTAACCCAGCAAAGTATTGACAAGCTCTTTTGCACAAATTAATATAAGTCCATTTGTGCCAACATCTTTGTGAGTGTATATATTGTTAATTTATCATTTTGTGTGCCATTAAATACTTCACCATATATGTTCTCTACTTTTATCTTTTATATGTCTTCCATTGAATATGTATGGTAAATACACACACCATTGTATACACGTTTTGTGATTGTGGCGCCCCCATCTGGTATATGTTCTTTGGAACTATACTCCTTTTGGCAATTGTGTATTTTTGGGATTGGGAGTGATCCCTTATTTGGAGTGGCCTGCCTGCACTATCGAAGCACTTTATCCCATACACCGCTATTTCATAAAATAATTTCATTCTGGTATCGTACACCAGCTAGTTTACATAAAATTTTCCCCACACAATCACCAATATGCTAGCGCTGTAATGAACGCCTTGAAACACATTTGCACATATAGTGGTATTGTCAGGCTATAGCACTTTATTGGAAAGGGGTACTAGCAGCTATGGAAATAATTTTGGGTGAAGATATACTATTCCAACCCAAGAATGTCCTCCTGCATCATACCTGTGATCTTTCAATAGCTCAGTATAAGAAATCTATTGTAAGATTTCTTTTAAATGCTGTTACGGCCTTAATTCCCCTTTACTGGAAAACTAAGGAATCTATAACTCTATATAATTGGTTGGATAAAGTGTGCGAGATCGAAGCTGCAGAATTTAGGATTGCAACTCTTTCAAATGTTAGCGAAAAACATGCCCAGAGTTGGTAATCATGGTACAAGTTTACTTCTTAGAGGCATAATGTTACTTAAATAAGGCAGAAAGGAAGTCAGGAAGATGTAATTAATTAAGGAATAGATAATTAAATTTTAATAGAGAAAGTTTTTTTTTTCCGCTGTATAGAGAGGGGTACCCAGAGTAAAATCTTGGTTAAAAAGGAAAGAAGGAAAAAAGCACATAGTTAGACATGACAGAATAAGAAATGCCTCATTTTAGAAATGAAAATCTTAGAGTATAGGAGATAATTGACATGTGTATGTTTGCATATGTATATATTTATATATATATATATATATATATATGTATATGTGTATATTGTGTATATGAGGGTACATGTGGATGTATGTGTATAGAAGGTTTTTGTTTAAAAAAAATGTTTATCTTAAATTATATATATTTTATCTTATATTAATACTCCCCTCTTCTAGCACCATCTTTTGCATTGTTCGCTTGTTTTTGTTTTTTTCTCTCTCCCCCCTCACTCTGTGATCTTCGCATAAGATATTTACAACCCTTGGCAAGAATGGTGTCTATGTTCTATCAAACCTGTCTTATCTGCACTCATGTTGCTTTAACCCCTTTATCACAACCCAACCTGTGGCCAGAGGTGGCACTGTGCTGGGAGGACTTCCCCAGGGATAATAGAGAGCAGCGCAGGGGAGAGACAGGGAGAGGAAACCCAGCTCTGTACCAGAGGCATCCAGGCAGCTGCTGGTAAGTGGGAGTCAGTGTGTGTGTGGTTTAGTCTCTGTGTGTGGGGGCTCAGTCTGTGTGTGTGTGTGGTTCAGTCTGTGTGTGAGGGTGGGGGTCAGTCTGTGTGTGGGGGGTGTCAGTCTGTGTATGTATGGGTCAGTCTGTGTATTGGTCAGTCTCTGTGTGGGTGTGGGGAGGTCAATCTGTGTGTGTATGAATCAGTCTGTGTGTGTATGGGTTTGGGGGGTTAGTCTGTGTGTGTATGGATCAGTCTGTATGTGTACGGGTGTGGGGGGGTCAGTCTGTGAGTGTATGGATCAGTCTGTGTGTGTATGGGTGTGGGGGGTCAGTCTGTATGTATGGGTCAGTCTGTGTGTGTGGGAGGTCAGTTTGTGTATGAATGGGTCAGTCTGTGTGTGGGGGGTCAGTCTGTGTGTATGGGTCAGTCTGTGTGGGGAGGAGGGGGGTTCAGTGTGTGTGTATAACAGGGCTCGACAAATCCCAGGTGCCATGGCAACTAGAAATTTTGCCCTGGCACCTGGGATTTGTCAGCCTTTTACCTAAAGCGGACGGCTGCCCACAAGAGCACAGAGGCAACTGGCTCAGGGAGGGGGCACGGCTCAAGGAGCGTCATGGAGGAGGCCGGCTCAAGGAGCGTTGTAGTCGGCTGGCTTAGGGATCGTGGAGGTGGCCGGCTCAGTGAGCATGTAGCCGACCGCCCTGGAGAGCATGGAGGCGGCTGGCTCAGGGATCGTGGAGACAGACACCCTGGGTTGTGTGCAGGCGGCCACCCTGGGGAGAATGGAGGCGGCAGGTTGGGGCAGCGGGCGAGGGACAAGTGATTTTCCTGCAGCTCCTCTCTGCTCCCTCGCTCTGTATGTGATGTTGGGAGCTGGAATATGACATCATTGTGGCCCCAGCATCACTGCAGACAGTGCGAGGGAGCAGAGAGGAGTTGCAGGAAGTGTTAGAGAAAGTGTATGTCTATATGTATGTATGTGTATGTGTCTTTTTGCCTCTGTCAATGAGCGTGTGTATGCCTCTGTCAATGTGTGCGTGAGTTTGTCTGTCAGAGAGCATGTGTCTGTTTAGGTACCCTGCCTCCTCCGACCACATGATTGGTGTTTTTACTCGCCTTTTTCCCCACGCCATGCTGGTTTCGCCGTGGCTTGTGCCTTCTCCATAGCTGAGATCTTAATGATCTCAGCTAAGCCATAGGAAAGCATTGGGAGGATATTACGCATGTTCTCTATGGGTAATATTCGCGCCTCCATGCAGAGCACTGACACAGGACTCTCTAGTGACCATCTGAGTGAGGTCTTAGTAGGCAGCAATGTAAATGCTGCCTTTTCTCTTTAAAGGCAGCGTTTACATTGAAAAGGCTACAGGACATAGTTACATAGTTACATAGCTGAAAAGAGACTTGCGTCCAGGGCTGGCCTCAGGGGTGTGTGAGCTGTGGGGCCGCACAGGGCGCCATGGTGCAGGGGGCACCATGTGGCCGACACAACTCGCACATGGCCGGTGTCAAGGTAGCTAAAACAGGTACCCAGGTGGAGGATTTCATTATTCTCCACCCGGGTTTATAAAAATAAAATTTAAAAAATAGTGGCAGCGGGGCGGAGCTTAATGAGTGGCAGGGGCAAGGCTTGTTGCGAGGCAGGGGTGGGGCTAATACCTACCCGAAGTCCCTGGTAACTGCTGCACAGGAAGAAGGAAGCAGGAAGGTGTCCCTGCTTCCCCAACAACCAACTACTTCCACTCTCCCTTCCAGCCATAATAGAAAGAGGTAAGTGTGTGTGTGTGTGTGTGTGTGTCTGTTTGCCTGTTTGTGTGACTGCCTGTGTGTGACTGTCTGTCTTTGTTTCTGCCTGCCTGTGTGTGACTGTTTGCTGTGTGTGTATGTGTGACTGCCTGCCTGTGTGACTGTATGCCTGCCTGTGTGTGACTGTCTGTGTGACTGCCTCCTTGTGTGTGTGACTGTCTGTCTGTGTGACCAGGGCCGGACTGGGTATTAAAACCAGCCCTGGAAGAAATTACATACCAGCCCCATAGCATTGAGTAATTGTACCGGCACAACGTCATTTTCTTGTTCATAAAAGGTAAAATCATGCATTTTAAAGCACATTTGAAGAGTGAATTATTTATAGATAAAACAGATGTAAAAGCACACAAGGCCTTATACATAAAGAGTAAAAAAAAAGTGTAAACGTGGAGAAATCATCAAGAGTAGACCATTTATTGCTATTTTATAGCTCTTTATGTAGAACCCCCATTGTTCCAAATATCATAGTAGACCATTCTCCCATGCAATTGTGTCTGCCCCATCAAAATTGTCCAAATAAAGAATAATCAAAGAGCTTTACTTCAAAGTATAGAAAACACAAATGGTTTCCAAAATTTATTAACTTAACATATATAAATTACTCATAAACACACAAAACAGTAGTAAATGCAAATAAACTTTTAGAGGTAACAAAAAGTGCAAATGTTATACTAGACAGTAATTAAATATTTTTAACAGTTATAATAAGCTTGCTGTTAATTCTGTAACAGTACAAAATGTGTACCTTTGGAATTCAATAAAGTTTAAATACCTTGAAACATATTGCTGACTAGCTTTCCACTACAATTTTAGAACAGGAAAATTGTACCAGTACCATGGCAAGCAAACCAACAGTTTTCAAAATGTAATGTACAAACATTACTCAAAAAAGTGCTTTAAAACAAGTAAATTAGTTTAACAGTAGATAAAAACAGGGCTCATTAGCCTTTAGGACAGACCTGTCTAACCTGTGCTCCCCCAGATGTTGCTAACTACAACTACCATGATTCTTTTAATGAAACAGATGGCCAGGGAATTATGGTAGTTGTAGTTCAGTAACATCTGGGGAGGGTACATGTTGGACAGCCCTGCTTTAGGAGGTTGCAATGTGTAAACTGTTTTCTAAAGTTTTAGAGGATAAAATATGTAACAACTTTTAAAAGTAATAACTTAAAAAAAACAAAAAACTAATCCAGTCAAAATTTAGAAAAAGAAATATTGACCAACATTGTAATTTACTGACATGCTTGTTATGTAAGCAACATCTCTTGTAGCAAGCTGCTTTTCGAAGCCAAAACATCAATGATGGTTTCATTGCTTAGTCCAATCAAGGTCTCTTTCTCCACGGACATTAGCATAAAGGCCTCCAAATGTGTTTGAGAGAGGGAATTTCTCAGTCTGTTCAAGATGTATTTAAGTTTTGAAAAAGACCTCTCACATGCTACTTGCGAAGAGAAAAGTGCCAGTGTCAATTTGTATGCATTAAAAAGTGAACTATACGTTAGATTGTATAAGTTGTAACGCAACAATAAATTGTAGCAGCAGGCTATACAGCTCTTACAAGTTTTGCACTTTCCACTTTTATCACCAACATTGGAGTATGGCTGTTCCTCAGTTTCAGAGATAAGATGAGAATGGATGGTGTCTTCATCTTGACCTTCATTGTTAGCATCGGTATATTCTTCATCAAGTGACATTTTCAATCTTTTTCCACTTTGATGCAAAATCAAGTAGCTCACTTTGCAGTTTTTCTTTAGTTGCGTTGGAGTAAAATTTAATTACAAGGCTACTCAGTCGTTCTAATGCACTGCTGGGAAGGTCTAGTAAAATATCTTCAAAATTTTGGGGATCTAAACATGCCAAATCTGCAAATAACTGACCATGTGTTGTAATTCGGCTATGCGGACTATTAATGATCTTGTCCAAGGTCACATTGTACACCTCCACCCGGAACTGATCACTTGCTAACAGAATTGGTTCGTCTACTGCAAGCTCACCACCCATTCTTTTCTTACGTTGTATTCTTCGAGGTGATGGATAGTCTTTCTCAATCAAAACTTTGCAGTCGGTTGTATCCAACTTGCTGTTTGCCCAGACTGTAAACTTCTTTGCAGCATCTATAATCATTTGGGAATCACGATCACGTGATTGCAAGTTGTTTACCGTTTCTGTCACCATTCGGTATGCCTGCAATACATCCATACCTTGTGTTTGCAGGTACAAGGATAGTGGAGTGGTATTCTTAAAAACAAATAAGTACAGCTGTGCCGTTATAAGTGTGCAGAATTTTTTGAGGGATTCTAAGTAAGTTTCAGCCTTGTATCTGATGTCAGCATTAAAATGATCAGAACGTGATATTTCTGCCATGGTCTGGATCAAATCTACATACAAGGCTTGACTTGGATCACTAAATGAACCAAACACCTTTGTAAGTGCTGCATCTCTGGACCACCATCTTGTTTCTCCAATCACAGAAAGAGATCGAAATCTTTCTTCCTGAGACTTTTCACACCATCCGAAGGTAGGATTCACGATAAATACAGCACAGGAGTTTAACAAGCCGAACAACAATATTGCCTGAACAGATATCTTTGTGACATCCATCATCACTAAATTTAGTACATGTGCATAGCACCACACATGAATCTGGCCAGGTGCTTTATTACTCAGCCATGTGCTGAATCCGTTGTACTGACCCTACATATTAGAAGCTCCATCTGTTGAGTTCCCAACACAGTTCATAACCTCAATTTCCATGGATTCCAATACATTGCAAACCAATTCACACAAAGCCTTCCCTGTCGTGGATGTGCAATTTACCACAGCAACCAGACGTTCATGGACCACATCTGTGACATACCGAATTATTATTGAACACTGGTCTGAGACGTTTATATCCTGTGTTGTATCGAGCTGTATTGAGAACATGACGGCATCTCTGATCTCTTGGGCAATACCTTTTGCTGAAATTACACAGATGATATTGTTGACTGTAGTTTTTTAAATTACTGTAACAAAGCCACCACGTCCTTCGCTACTTGTTGCACTTTGATGCTGCTTTTAACTTTTTTTTAATAACTGTATCAAGGTGATTTTTCAGCAAGGGACCAAACTTGCTTAAGAGTAGCAAAATCTCAAGGAAATTTCCATAGTTCAACTTTTAATTATCTAGCGTATATGCTGCTTCAGCTGTTGCCCGATAGCTTAGGCCTCTTTTTCCAATCAGCTTGATGTTTTCAATTATCCCCTCTAGGATGGAACGTTTTCTCTTCACTTCCTCTTTTCTGGCTGTTGTTTGTTTCTCAAAGAAAATACTAGATAAGTCCATATTCTTTGACCTCATCAAAAAGGATTCAGAGCTATTATTGTGGAGTTTGCTTCTTTCGTGCTCTTCAATTCTCTGGTACATGTGCTTTTCATCGAAGCAACCGTCAATAAAAGCACTGTCGTCTGTCTTTTTGCTAAAAGCTATACACACCATGCTGAAAAAAGCACCATATCCATGTGAATAAGTCAACCAATGACGCTTCTTTCCATCCCTCCTCTGATATAACTTTGTTGAATTAAAAGAAAGGACAACTGGTTGACATGGATGAAACAATAAGAAGGAATCCAAATTTTCTGATTTTGGTCTGATAAACCACATTTTATCATCAACTGGGCCAACTACTTCTGGAATATCTTCTTTTGCTAATGATTCTTCATGTTCATCAGTTTCTACCTCAACAGGAACTCCAGTACTGTGATGAATATCTTCACCTGCATCGGTATCTATATCCAACTGTACAGTGCTTTGCATAGCGCTATGCATTGTTGTGCTACAGCTAGCGCCAATGTCTTCATGTGGAGATACGGGTGGTAAGTCATGCTTTGTTGCCACTATCTTAAACAAGCTACACACTTTTTGATTCTGGTGTGCATCTTTTTCTAACAGTTTTTTTTTTTCACGTTCTTTTTCTGCTCCACCTTTCTGTTTTCTTTTACTTTCACCCTTCTTATCCATGGCAATCACTAAAAAAAGAAGATATATTTGCTATATTTGATTAAGCTACAAAACACAAATTAATTACATCTGAACCATGGGCAAAACGATCCAGAATCCCAAACTATGGGAGTGGATTGATTAGAATGGTGATTCTAATCAAATTGATTAAAATTGTCCGCTGGGTCATTTGAAAATGATAAAGACTGAAACATGTCCCAATGAAGCCAAATAATACATTCTGATATATATTCAGAAATAAAAGCTTGCCAGGGCTAAAGCCTGGTATTAAAAATGTTTTATGAACTCAACATCAGGCACTTTTTAAGCCAATGTACAAAAGCATTTTATACATCAACCAAGTAAGACTTGACTATCCAAAGTAAGCAATGCAAGGTAAAAAGCATAAAGCATAAAGATTATAGATTAACCGTACAGAGAATAACAAATCCACTGAAAAACACATCCTAACCCTGCATTTCAGGTATAGATCAACGCAATACTATATGGCAGACATCAAGCAAAGAATGCATGCAAGCCTGCAACTCAGGTATAGATCAACTGAACACATGCAAGAATGCACTGCAGGTATAGATCAACTGAATAACACAAGCAAGCCTGCAATGGCAGGTATAGATCAACTGAACACATGCAATCATGCACTGCAGGTATAGATCAACTGAATAACACAAGCAAGCCTGCAACGGCAGGTCAACTGAATAACACATGCAAGCCTGCAACGGCAGGTATAGATCAACTGAATAACAAAAGCAAGCCTGCAATGGCAGGTATAGATAAACTGAATAACAAAAGCAAGCCTGCAATGGCAGGTATAGATCAACTGAATAACACAAGCAAGCCTGCCACGGCAGGTATAGATAAACTGAATAACACAAGCAAGCCTGCAACGGCAGGTATAGATCAACTGAATAACACATGCAAGCCTGCAACGGCAGGTATAGATCAACTGAATAACACATGCAAGCCTGCAACGGCAGGTATAGATCAACTGAATAACACAAGCAAGCCTGCAATGGCACGTATAGATCAACTGAACAACACAAGCAAGCCTGCTGCAGGTATAGATCAACTGATTAACACAAGCAAGCCTGCAACGGCAGGTCAACTGAATAACACATGCAAGCCTGCAACGGCAGGTATAGATCAACTGAATAACACAAGCAAGCCTGCAATGGCAGATAGATAAACTGAATAACAAAAGCAAGCCTGCAACGGCAGGTACAGATCACAATAACACATGAAAGCCTGCAACGGCAGGTACAGATGCACAAGCAAGGCAGGTATAGATAAACTGAATAACACAAGCAAGCCTGCAACGGCAGGTATAGATCAACTGAATAACACATGCAAGCCTGCAACGGCAGGTATAGATCAACTGAATAACACAAGCAAGCCTGCAATGGCACGTATAGATCAAATGAACACATGCAAGCATGCACTGCAGGTATAGATCAACTGATTAACACAAGCAAGCCTGCAACGGCAGGTCAACTGAATAACACATGCAAGCCTGCAACGGCAGGTATAGATCAACTGAATAACACAAGCAAGCCTGCAATGGCAGGTATAGATAAACTGAATAACAAAAGCAAGCCTGCAACGGCAGGTACAGATCAACTGAATAACACATGAAAGCCTGCAACGGCAGGTACAGATCAACTGAATAACACAAGCAAGCCTGCAACGGCAGGTAGAGACCAACTGAATAACACATGCAAGCCTGCAACGGCAGGTAGAGACCAACTGAATAACACAAGCAAGCCTGCAACGGCAGGTAGAGACCAACTGAATAACACATGAAAGCAGGTAGAGATCAACAGGAGAATATGTGTGAAACCTGCACTGCAAGTAAAGATAAATAGAATAACATAGGGCTCGACAAATCCCGGGAGCCATGGCTCCTAAAATTGCTGCTGCTGGTTCCTATGTTTTTTGATTGTATTTTATAAAACTTTACGGAAGTTACATTTCTCTTGCTCCTAATTTGGTCTGGCTCCTCAAGGCTACAGACTTTTGTCAAGCCCTGGAATAATACATGCAAACCCTTCATTGCAAGTACAACTGGAATGTAGAATTTTCAAATTGTTGATGATATGCATCATATTGGGCCAAATAAGGTATTGGCACCGAGTTGTTCAACATCTTTTTTTCCCTTATGCAAACACGATCTATGTGTTTTAAATAATACATATAGCAGTTTTTTTCACTATATTTCTCTGAATGACGTCTCACCCTCTGCTCTGCCTTCTGTGCAGGTCTAAAATCTCAGCCTCAACAATATTCCAGAGTCCAGGTTGTTTCTGTATCACCTCACTGGTACTGGTACAACAATTGGAAGAAATAAATCACAATGCAGTACTTTACAAATGTGTGAAGTAAAATGTTTTCAAGGGGACACTTCAGGCACCAACACAACTTCATTTAAATGAAGTTGTTTGGATATCAGGATGCCCCCGGAGGGGATTACCTCTATGTTGCTTCCAGCGCTGGTCTAAACTCCTCCCCTAGCAACATCCAGCCTCAGAATTTTGAGATTCAAGAAGCGCGGAGTTCTGTCAGAAAGCTGAGCGCTCTCAGCCAATCAGTGGCGCCTCCCCCGGTTCCTGAATTTTTTAATTCAGATGGCAGGTGCTGCCAGGGGACGAGTAGAGACCAGCGCTGGAGGTAACTTATGGGTTACACCATTTGAGAACAGTTTAATCTCTTGAGGTAAGAGTGCCTCTGAGGGCCTCCTCCTGCACCCAAACAATGAACTTTTATATAATAGGTTACATAGTTACATAGCTGAAAAGAGACTTGCGTCCATCAAGTTCAGCCTTCCTCACAAATGTTGTTGCTGTGGATCCAAAAGAAGGCAAAAAACCTGGTGTGAAGCACTTCCAATTTTGCCACAAACTAGGAAAAAATGCCTTCTTGACCCCAAAATAGCAGTCAGATGTCTCCTTGGATCAAGCAGCTATTACCCCACTAATTAGAAATTATATCCCTGTATGTTATGTTTTCGTAAGTATTTATCCAATTTCAGTTTAAACATCTGTATGGACTAAATGTGTGACCTCGTGTCCTATGTATAGCCCTGTTTATGAATAGATTTCCAGATAAAGGTTTGTACTGGCCCCGAATATATTTGTATAAAGTTATCATATCCCCTCTCAGGCGACGTTTTTCCAAACTAAACAGATTAAATTTTTTTAACCTTTCTTCATAACTAAAATGCTCCATTCCTTTTATCAATTTTGTAGCTCGTCTCTGGACCCTCTCCAGAGCCATGAAATCCTTCTTTAGAACAGGCGCCCAAAATTGCACAGTATATTCAAGGTGTGGTCTTACCAGCGATTTATAAAGAGGCAGAATTATATTTTCATCCCGAGAATTCATGCCCCTTTTTATACATGACAAAATCTTACTGGCCTTAGCAACTGCAGATTGACATTGCATATTGCTGCCTAATTTTTTGTCTATAACAATTCCCAAATCCTTCTCGTGTGTGGTTATCCCTAATTCACTACCATTTAGTGTGTAAGTTGCTTGTGCATTCTTAACCCCAAAGTGCATAACTTTGCATTTCTCTATGTTAAATTTCATCTGCCATTTTAGTGCC